AATAAATATATATATATATATATATAATCTTGCAAATATTCTAAACAATGTTTCTAAACTCTTAAATGTCACAGAATGTCATGATTTCATCTCCCTGCCTCCTCTGCTCTTTGTCACTTGCAAGTGTTCTTGGCCACGCCCACTTCTCTGCTCTGCCTGGTGAACAGCTGATCAGCTGCAGCGGGAAGTTTATCCTCTAGCATGGGCTGCACAAAGGTGCAGGAGGTGCTAAATAATTTAAAATAATTTATTTAAAATTAAAAAATCCATGCCGATCATGCAGCTCATCCATCAATCAGCCAACTGTGTGTCATGTCCAATCTTATTTAGAAAAAAACGCGATAGAGCGAGTCCGCGATAAACGAACCGAGAAGTAGCGAGGGACTATTGTATACTGTAATTGGCTAACGGTACAGACAAACCAGACAGACAGACGGGCAAAAACATTATCTCCCTTTCATCTTCTGTAGCAGGTGACAAATATTTAGTTTTTAGCTCCAGCTCCAGCAGTTCTCATGGTATTTATGTGGACGCCTGCCCAGTTTTCTCTTGTGATAAAATGTGAGCGCATGTGAGGGTCTGTTTTCGCGCCTCCTGCCCTCCTGGTGCGACGTGACCTTTATTCACCAACCTGTGTGTTTAGACAGCCGTTTAATCTGCCACTCACAGATGTCCTCCAGTGAAGCAGCCGTGCCTGTGATCTGGCTGCCCCATCCTCAGCATTGTTGAACCCAGTCCTGTCACCACTCGCCTCCCACATCTCCCCCCTCCACACACACACACACACACTCCCCTTCACCACCACCACAGCGCTGCCTTTGCATTGCCATGGAAAAAGCTGCTCTCCTCAGGCGTGACTTGCTCAAGAGCTTTTTCCACCTCTGTGTTTGTGTGTACGAGTGCAGCTGTGGTAACCATTATCTGAACAAGTGTTCATCGGTTTTAGCTGCGTGAAAAGCAGCATTCAAAGTTGGTTGAAAAATACATTTAATTGGACAAAAGGCTGTAAATTGCACCATTTTGAATATGCAATGAAATTATGATTTTATTAAGCCAGGATTTAACTGCAGAGATATTTTATTTTATTAATAAATCCGTTTTCTTTATTTTACCTCTGAGTTCGTTGTGTCTGCTGACTCTCATAACAGATCATGATATCTCCATTTGCCGGACCATCATACAAATATTTCAACTTGTTTGCGGTTCGGTTCACTGTAAATCATTTTAGTGAAACTCCACAAGAAAAATTTACATATTTTCTGTGAATTCTCTGCCTCTTAACGAGTCCCTAACAGTTGCAGATTAGTCAGAGGCCTAACATGTAATTAGCACACTTCTATCAGTGGAACCAAAATTTTAAATTGATATTTTTAGACTCTGATTAGCATAGTTTGAGAGTTTCACTTGTTAAAATGTTTGGCTCAGTCAGTAGTCTGAATATTTACTGCTTGATTTCTACAATGTTCTTTTTGAAATTTTAGTCCTATTTGTTCTCCCTGCTTAAAAAATCTTTATAGCTTCAAAAATCTTTGCAGGCTTTTAGTGTCGCTTTGGAGTGACAGAGCAGCTAAAGACTGCCCAATTATCGCAGTACGACAGCTCTCCCACATCGTTTCATACCCTCGTGAGTTTTTAATATGCAGTCTATGTAGGTAGAAGTGAAGAGAATTTCTTTAAAAGCCTCTTTTTTAAAAACGTTTTCATCAAAATAGGAAACCACAGCTCGATTTAAAGCTCGGTTTGGACTACAGCAGTGAGATTACAATGCGGTGAATAAAAGTGCTGCACATGATATTTTTATGACTGCGGATGATAATTAAACACAACATGAACTGGAAAAATTAGCATTTTCTGTGAAAATGCTGCTTAAAAATGTGAGTGTGTGTTGAATCACAGCTGAACTTTCAATGTCAAAGTACCGGTCATGGAAAAGAGTTTAAAGAAGACGAGACAAAAGGAACATTAGGATAAAAATGCAGAAAGATGTAAAAACAGAAAAAACTCAAATGGAGACAAAAAATACAAAAAGGAATCATAATGAGGCATGAAAAGACAAAAATATGGAGTCAAATAAAGACAAAACAGGCACAAATGGAGACGTAAGAAGCTATAAGGAAAAACAAAATGAATAAAATCAACAGAAAAGACAAATGATGAAACCCAATAAATTAAAAAGAAGACATAATAAAACATGCCGCAGGTCACTGATGGACTTTAATAGTGAGTGTTTTTCTAGACAGGAAGTCAACAGGGAATGCAAGTAAACTTTAATGTTTTTGTAGCAAGATATTCAAATGGGTAGGTGTGTATAAAATAATAGAGGTGGTTTATTTAGTTATTTTTTCTTGTCCAAGGCAGCGTAGTGAGACAGATCTTGGCGAGTGGAGTGAGCAATGTTATTCACGACCAGGTGCAATGGTGGAACTAGGGGGTAGCCAATGGGGGCCTTGGCCACCACAGGTTAATCTTGTGTCAACCCAATCACTTGAAGAAACTATACTTTTAAACAGTATAAAAAATGAGAAAGCATAATTTTCTCAAATGATTGGGGTGGTTGTTTTACATATATACTGTATATATAAATATATGGAGGCAGCCATCTTGGATTTTGATGTGGCAACCCAATTTGCTATAATATCCAGATGCAGATTGCAGATAAAATATTTCCATTTCCCTCTCTTCACTCCGTGACGAGGGACAAAAATATCCAAAAACACAAAAAAGTATTAGATGGTGAAAGACGAGAAAGCATAAGGAGACATAAATGGAACCAATATGCCAAAGTAGATTTTAAAGAGCACGTTTTGAAGAGATGTTCATGTATTTCAATAATACAATTGTAAATAAAGGTAGGTTTTTTTATAAAGTGTTAAAGTTACATAAAATAAAAGTTGTAGTCCTAATGTCCCCAACAAGCTGAAATAACTGAAAGTATGCTCAAGTACACAGTCCAGAAGAAACTATAACCAGGAAAACAATAAATCGGAAGACTTATAATGTCTGACATTTTAGTTCCTAATATCGCACTGATTTTTTTCTTGATTTTTATTTGCTTATTTTTTACAGTAGTCACACCGTAACAAAAGAATGAATGGAAACCCATAAACAAAAACTTTATAAGGTTAAATCCTGCAAACACTTTTTATTTAAAAGTACATATAAACACTAGGATGGAGATGAGTGACTGTATTTTGTTGCTCACCAACATTAAATCAGCAATAATCAAGATGCGTTCACACAGTCAAGCAGCTACTCATCATGATGTTGTTTATCCTGTCCTATTAAACCCTCAGAAGAATCAGAGCGGACAGGATAGTCTTAATGCCTCTGTCTGGCGGTGTTTGTGTTGCAGCGTGTGCTGTAATACCTCATGTTGGGAGAAAACTGGTGGGTTGTTGTTTTCATCCTGCACCGTCACAACCACTGTGCAGGAACTGTTCAGACCTGCCAGGGACATCATCACAGCTTCTGTTAGTGACTCAGGGTCAACGCTTCACACGCTTCCATCACACCCCGGGTCTCTGAGTCACAGAGAGGACATCATCTCCTGCCCCAGAGGCCACGTTCAACGTCCATTTGACCCAAACATGACAATAATTTACTTATACCAGCTGATGAAGCTAATGTCATCTGGTTGTTGCAACAGCTGCTGTTTTTATTGTAATGGTCCTTAAAAGAATGATTTGCTTTTTCAAATTTTACCTGATTGCAATTAAATTAAAGGTAGAACATTTTTATAATCTTCCTCAATTTAGATACTAGGGATGCGCTGATACCAGTATGGCCATTGGTTTTGATACTTGTGTATGCATGTTTCCATCCATCCATTCATTATATTTACCTTCCTCGTCCTTTTCTTCTTATTATCATTATCATTATTATTATTGCTATATATTTTTTTAGGTGGCTGTCCTGAAAAACACTCCTTACCAGTTGTTGCTGATGCACCATAAAGTTGTTTGCTAACTGAAGACAAAACCCACCAGAATAATAATACTAAGCAGTACGGAGCTAATTCAAAGGTGAAAATGGACATTTTTGAAAAGCACGAGTGCGATGAAAGAGCTATCGACCCACCAGGCGGGCCCACACCATCAGTTTACACCATTCTGAGGACATGGGATGAAATGGGAAGTGTGGATACAGCTAAAACTGACAGGTTATCAGAGTTTCCCCACCACGGGTCATTGATGAGCCTAAAAAGCTGCTTAACGAGCTGCTTAATGAACAGGAGCTGCAACATTGTCTCAGAGAAAGGCACTAAATTAATTCTCGGCCAGAATCTATAAGTGCAACCTTCAGAGAGGTGAGTGATGAAACTCTGTCCATCAATTTATCTCTGTTGCAAATATTTAAGTTTTTTTTTTTTTAAACTACTGGACAAAATTGTTGCTTCTGTTATGCTGAAAGCAAAAAGTGAGTGTTCATTTAAGAGAAAAACGTGTTCAAAATAATTACTTTCAACATACAAATCATTTGTTAGATAGAAGTACATTTGTAATTTCAGGCTCTATTAAATATAAAAAGTGTGATGTCATTTATTAGTACTCATATTTCTTAGTATCAGCGTGTACTCAAATGTAAGTACATGTGCTCAGTTTGAAAAAAAAAAAAAAAGTGGTATTGGTGCATCCCTAATAAGTATTTATTATTTTATGGAAGTTAAATCCATATGAAGCAGGAATACAAAATACTGGAAAGCCACATATACCTTCACAGATGGCGCATCAGAAACAGAACTTTTTTATTTTAAGACAGTAAAATAACTTTGGAGATCAATGTGTTTATTTATTTTAACAAATTGATTTTTATACTTGAAAAAATATTATTATTCACTATTATTCTAGAGTTTAGGTTTAAATAAATGGAATTGTCACAGTGAACAAATAATTATTGGAGCTTGTTTTAAACAAAATCAAATAGAACATCACAGGGATATTTGTAATCGTTTCTGACCCGTACAACTGTGTAAAATTAATTTTAAGAAATAGATACCCCAGGAATATAAATATATTTAAAAATATTCACTTTGGATGCTTGACCAAAGCTTTGTAGGTAAATATAAATGTTTGTTCTTTTAAATTATGTTTTTTATTCATGCGTTGAGCTCTGAATTTAGTCATTTTTGGTAAAGTTGACCCTCCTTTAGAAAAAAAAAAAATTATATATGTGTTATGTACTGTCAATATTTCCCACATTATTAGCTATACATGAGTTTTACATGAGTTCAAATAAATATTCTTACAAATAAAATAGAAAAAAAAAATCATTAGCAATTCCATTTAGACATGACCTGAAAGATTTATTTTTATTTGCAAACAGATTTTGATGAGCATGCAAATACATTAGTTATTATTAATTTGAAGTTTTTCTGATTGATATTCTTGTTCTGGAAGAATAAACAAAGCAAGACTTGCATTTTGTGGTAATAAGCTCAAACTAAACTGAAGGATGTGATTTGTTTTCACCTTTGGCGTCCTCGGCGGTGATGGTCAGGGTGTACTGGGGGGCTGTCCCCTCCATGCTGTCCGCCTGGACAGAGATGACGCCCGAGTCCCGGTCCACTCTGAAAAGGGCACGAGGACTCTCTGGAATCTGTCCAACTAAACGGTAAAAGATCCTTACGTTGTCTGTCTTTGGATCGTCGTTGTCAGCTGCCTGAACTGTCAGAATTTCTGTCCCTGTGGAAATAAACACCAGAAGAACAATAAATAAATAAATAAATTTAAACCCTGAGATGAAAAGCTCTAATGGATCTGCTGTGGGATTATTTTAAGAAGCAAAACTGTATTTTTAATTTTTATTTTAATTGACATAAACTACTGTTATTTTTTTGAAGCAGATTTTCTTAAATGTTGTAACAAAAGTCAATAAATCTGAACTATTTTCTCTTTGTAGACTTTTATGTTATGGATGAATTAAATAAAGCAAGACTATAAGAATAAGTTTATCATGTATTAGTCTCTCCAGATTAGCAGATTGTCCAGCCTAATTCATTTCCCAAAATCAAATAGTTTTAAAGCACCTTTTCTGCTGAGACCTGGAGTGCCACAACCCGCCGTCTGCATCCTCAAGAGGATGAGCGAGGGACAACGGTGTTCCTTAACGGTGTTACAAATGCTTCATAAAAGTTGTACAAAGTCGAAAATAAACTATTTATAAGGCGCTTGTAACCCCATTAAAAAGGTACACTTACTGTAATTTGGATCTATACTTTTCTTCTTTTTAAGTTTTATGTCAGTTTAAATTTTAAGTTTTTAATGTCTTTGTGGATGAAAACAGCGACGTTTGTTGTTTGTTCATCGTTTTTAGAAGTGACTCCACCAGTGCAGCGTTAACAGAATCATGTCGGCTCTAATGTAAGATCTCAACTATTTTGCTTATTTTTTGTTATGTATCCACAGTGATTTTTGGATGTCTAGACTGGACTATTACAATGGCTTATTATCTGGGTGTCCAAATACTTCTTTAAAAAGTCTTCAGTTAATCTGAAATGCTGCAGCCAGAGTCTTAATGAGAGTTAGTAGCAGAGATCATATCTCTCCAGTTTTAGCTTCTCTCCATTGGCTCCACGTCAAATCCAGAATAGAATTCAAAGTCTTACTTCTAACCTACAAAGTTCTCAACAACCTAGCTCCAGCTTATAGTACAAATTGTATTGTTCCATATTTTCCCAACAGAGCACTTTGATCTCAGACTACAGGCTTACTTGTGGTTCCTATAGTTTCCAAAAGCAGAAAGGGATGAAGATCTCTCAGTTATCAGGCTCCTCTCTTGTGGAACCAACTTCCAGTTTCTGTCCGTGAGGCTGACACATTGTCCAGTTTTAAGACTGGGCTCAAGACTTTCATTTTTGCTAAATTCTATAGTTAGGGTTGGCTTGGGTTTCCTGAGCTATTATTCCATAGCAATGCTGCTATAGGCTTACACTGCTGAAGGACAAACTGACCACAAGTCCTCACTCTGCTGCTGTCTTTACTTCCTCTACTCCACCTGTTTGTATCTGTAATTATTTCCATCTTAACGTGTTTTTGTTTTTCCTCCTATAGAAAGTACACCTGGACCTGCCATTGTGTATCTGTTCCTCCTTCCCGTTCCTCTCAAAGCCAGCCGGTCGAAGCAGCTGGCCGCTCATCCCGAGCCTGGTTCTGCTGGAGGTTTCTTTTTGTTAAAAGGGAGTTTTTCCTTTCCACTGTTCCCTTTGTGCTTGCTCAGGATGGGAGACTAACAAAGTGAAGATTCAACACAATCTGTTGCTTCATTAGATAGATAACTTTTACTAATTGTCATTTATAATGTATGTGAATGTTTTTGTTCAGTGCCCGTGAGACAACTACTGTTCTGACTTGGCGCTATATAAATAAACTGAATTGAATTATACATTTTCTGAAGCCAACATTATTTAAACAAGAGTTGGACTATCTGGAGTTCACTTTGTGAAAGGTTCAGTGATTCTGGTGTGTTTTAGGACCAGTTGTGGTCTTGTCCAGTTACAAAAACACATCATTCTTCCTGAAATGTAATATTTTGTTTAAAATCTGTACAGTAGTCCCTCGCTACTTCGCGGTTCGACTTTTGCGGACTCGCTCTTTCACAGTTTTTCAAAGTAAGACTGAACATGACACAAGTGGCTGATGGATGGGTGAGCCACACAAGCGGCATGGATTGTTTATTTAAAATAAATTATTTTGAATTATTTAGCACTTGTTGCACCTGTGTGCAGCCCACAGGTGCAGGAAGAAGCTCCCTCCTGCAGCAGGTCATGATCTTCCCTCTCTGCCACCTGACATCTTTTTTTAATCCCCTCTTCAAAAAAATGATTACCATTGTTTTACTGAAGATGCTTTAAATTTTTTCACACATAAACACACATTTTGAATAAAATGTCCCTGACATAATTTTATTTTTATTTAAATTTTAATAGGTTTCTGCCTCTGCTCTGAATTTGAAGTCACTGATGAGCAAAGTTTCATATGAACACAACCGTTTGACAGTATCCTTGATAAAAGCTGCGTGTTACCTCGAGCTGCCAGCTCCTTCACCACAGTGTGGTACTGTGCTTGTGGAAAGGTGGGTCTGTTGTCGTTGGCGTCGCCCACCATCACTCTCAGCTCCACTGGCTTGGCGATCTGTCTGCCATCTGGGCGCTCAACCACAATACTAATATGGAACTGACGAAGGAAAAAAGCACAACATTTAATTGAATTCATACTTTGAAAACAAAGGAATAATGTCAAACAGGTGTAGTTAATGTCACTTTCAGTCAGAAATAGACAGCAAGCTCAGAGTAATTGTTCAATTTTGGACTCAGGAGGAAAGTGATGCTTTTGTTCAGGTTGTGGACCACAGGACCAGATCTTCACCCTTGTGGAGTTGCTACAGGGGTCATGGCAATTTGACCTCCTATCTACATACGTTTTGTGGATTTGGAGAAGGTTTTTGACAGTGTTTCCTGTGGCATTCTGTTAGAGGTGTTGTGGGAGTATGAGGTGCTGGAGTTGCTTCTGATCCCTGAAGCAACAGCTGCATCTTCAATGAGCTGGTTGGACGCTACAAAAACTGCCCTCTGCCTCCAATCCTGTAAATAGTATTCGTTGTTCTCAGGGTGTAGCTGTGGAGAGGAAGGTGTCAGGTTTGGAAACCTCAGTGTTGTCTTTAGGTTTTGCAGATGATGGGGTTCTATTGGCCTTTTTGAACCATGACTCAGTGAGACTAAGAAGGATTCAAGGTTTTTTATTTGTCATACGCACCACATGTGGTGGAACAAAATTGTGTACACAGGGTCCCAGTTACATCCAACAAAAATATAAAATGTAAAAGAAAAACCAACAAGATCCAAGATATGAACTAAGAAAAACAATAACTAAAAATACACTAAGCACTAGTAGTACAAAAACAATACACCGAATAGCAGAACGAACATGAGTCTGTGTGAGCAGAAGAGCAAGAATGAACACCTCAACATGAAACAGATCAGCAGCAACATGAAGCAAATCAGCAGCTTCATGATGTGATTTTTTTCACAGTGATTATTCTGGTTAGAGATTCATGAGTCTAACAGCCTCAGGGTAGAAGCTGTTCCTCAGTCTAGTGGTTCTACACTTAATGCTCCTCAACTTCTTCCCTGAGGGGAGCGGGGCAAAAAGTGTGTGTGCTGGGTGAGTGGGGTCCTTCATGATGCAGGTGGTCCTCTTCCCACATCTGGAGGTGTAGATGTCTGTGATGGTGGGGAGACTGACTCAACAGACTTCTGTGCAGCCTTCACCACTCTCTGCAAAGCTTTTCTTTCTGCAGCTGTGCAGCCTCCATGCCACATGTTGATGCTGGAGCACAGGGTGCTCTCCACTGCACACCTGTAGAAGGAGGTGAGGACTGAGCTTCCCAGACCAGCTCGTCTCAGCCGTCTGAGGAAGTAGAGTCTCTGATGAGCTTTCTTAATCAGGTTGGTGGTGTTGTTGCCCCAGATGAGGTTGTCATTCAGTTGCACCCCCAAGTACTTGTAGCTGGAGACCACTTCCACCACAGAGCCTCCTATATTCTGGGGGGGGTATGTGTGTTTATTCCTTCTTAAGTCCACGACCATCTCCTTTGTCTTCTTTACATTGATGTGAAGGTTGTTCTTCCTGCACCAGCTCTCCAGGTGTTCCACCTCCTGCCTGTAGCTGGACTCGTTGTTTGTGATGCATCCCATCACTGCTGTATCATCTGCAAACTTTACAATGAGACTAACCTGTATCAATAAAGGTTGAATGAATGACCTTCAGCGTGTGCTGGAGTTGTTTGCTGCAAGGTGGGAAGTGGCTGGGATGAAAGTCGGCTCTTCTGATTCTGAAGCTATTGTTCAGAATGGTGAAAGAAAATGGAACCCTTTATCCAGATTGTGGATGAATCTGCATTAAATGAAGGGGTTCAGGGATCTTGGATTCTTCTACACAAATGATGGTAGGATTGATGGTTGGGAGCCTCAACTGCACTACTGAGGGTGTTGTATCAGTTTTTCATGGTGAAGGAGCGGAGCTGAAAACCAAATTTCTTGATTTACTCTACATTCCAACCCTCACCTTTGGTCATGAGTTCATGGATCATGGCAGAAACAAGAAGCTCCTGGAAACAAGAGGCTGAAATGGACTTTGTGAATAGGGTGGCCAGGCTCAGCCTTGGAGATAAGGTGGGGAGCACCATCATCCACGAGGAGCCCAAAGTAGAGCCACTGCTCCACAGCACTGAAATGAACCAATTGTGGTGTATCTGATTGGACATAGAAGATGGTGCCTCCCTCTGAAAGTTTTCCAGGTACATCCCACTGGGAAAAAACCTCCAGGCAGATCAAGAAGTTTCTGGAGGGGTTATTTATCTTTTCTGGCCTGGGAAAGAGTTTAGGAGGAGTAGGAGAGTGTTGCTGTGGAGAGGGATGTCTGGGTTTCCCTCCTGGACCTGTTGCTTCTATGACTTGACCACGGATGGGCAACAGGAAATTCAAGGATGGGTGAAATAAACGAACGGATGGACTGACATTTCTCTGTTCATTATTTTAAACTTCTGGCACAAAGCCTTCAACATAAAAACACTGCAGCAACGTCATCATCAACAAACCGCTGTAGTTGTACTCAAACATGTTAGATTTTTGAAGATTCATGGTTGGAGAATTGCAAAAGGTTTTTATTGGCACGTTTGCACATGCAAGACCTAAAGAGCAGAGGTACTTCCATCTTGTTTTTTTCCCCACTAAAAATAGACTAAACTCACAAACCAATATAAAATGTTCTGTTCTCTGTTAAAGATCACTGCAGAGGCCAAAATAAAAAAAATGCAGTGTGTTAAGCATTTATTTTAACAATCCACTGTAGCTTATTCTGTGCTGTTCTTTGGCCATTTGTGCCAGATTGTACTGTTCACTGACCCATTCAAAGCTCTCTGGAGCTTAAATTATGAGCAGAACTGACGAGTCAAATGCAACCAAATGGGCTTTAATGTGTCATTTCAACACACATGAACATCCTTCATCAGAAGAATACAATTTGAATCGAGCCGTTCTCACATACAATCCATGTCATAACACAATAATCCTCTGCCACAGGCAAGACGTGTTCAAGGAACAAAGCTGCACCCTTCAGGTGTGTTTCCATCACGGTATCTGCTAGTTTTAAAAATAGAAGTGGGCTTAGTGTTCAGCTTTGTGGGAGGAATATGTATCAGAGTCCTTCAACAAAAACCTGCAAGTCTTATTCTTGAAGGCATTTTAAGGATTATATTTGATTCTAGGCTAAAAATGTTTAGACTTTAGGGCTGCTGCAGACCTGGTCTTGTGTCTCTCTGTCCAGAGGTGCGTTGAGATAAATGACTCCTTCTCTGCTGATGGTGAAGAGCATCTCCGGAAACTCTCCATCCAGACTGTACACAGCTTGACTCCCACTCCATTTGACCTGATTCAGCGAACACACACACATACACGCACATATAAAAAGGATTTTAATGAATACAGCAGTATACATACAGGGCAATTTATTAGCAGGTCACTATGAATCTTGAACGATTTGTAACTGCAGGCTCGAGGTAAAGTAAAGCTGAGCTACGGTTTGTTTATACGGCAGGAGTCCAGCTTAATGCAGTGACGATGATGAGAAACAGAGCGTAGCCAAAACTAACAACACAGACTACAGAGGGATTTTCCACTCTGCTTTACAGCCCCTGACATCAGGCTGTGCAGGATTGCAGACTGGCTGAAAAAGCTCCCATCAAACAGCACCCAAGAAGGACCGGGCTCAGACGTGGCCCAGCTGCTGCACACTCCGGGCACATGCGTCTCCTCAACTCACTGTCACACACTCCTCCTTTGTTTTGGATGTTGCTGCACAACAGCAGGGCTATTACATACACGTATACACAAATCTGGCTGCCTCTCAGTGCATAAGCACTGTGGATACTTTACTTTTGTTTTATTTTATTTTATTGCCTTAAGTTTGCCCTTTATTACTCAGTGTTGATATGGAGATAGCAATAATTTATTTTTACATGAATATGATGACAATCAAGTCCTTTCTTCTACATAGAAAAACAGCTAAAAGCTTGCCTGTTTTGCCATAGTCAGTCTAACTTAGCAGAGCATCTTTGAGGCCTTGTTCTTCAGCTGCTTCGCTCAGATCATGTCTGTGCACAAGCGCTGAGAAATACAGAAATCAGTGCAATGCCGAGCATCAAACTGCAAAATTAGTCATTTTCAATTACTCACTCAACAAAGAAAAAAAGGCTCTTCCAGAATGACAATTAGGAAATTAAAAGATGGTTGATTTATTATTGCAATAAGCTTTAAAACAATAATAAATCAAGATGCTATTGAAAACAATCACAGGTAAAATTCACAATTTCAGCATTTACGTTAAAGATATGTAGTGATAAATAAAATATTGACTAACTTGAGGAAGTTAGAGGAATTTTTTCTGTCTTTGGGTTAACAACATGCTCATTTTAGGTATTAAAGTACACTGCCTGGCCAAAAAACAGTTGCCACCTGGATTTACCTAAGAAAATATGTACGAGCCTCCTATTGGATAATTACTGCATGGGCAATTATCTTTCATCTGGCAACAAGTTATTTAACCTCAACTGGTGCAATGAGTTGCTTCTCATTTCTTAAACAACCATAAAGACACGTCGCTTGGTCGTGGAAAAGATGTCATTCTGTTTGAGAAGGGTCAAATCATTGGCATCAAGCAGAGAAAACATCTAAGGAGATTGAAGAAACTACTAAAATTGGGTTAAGAACTGTTCAATGCATTATTAAAAACTGGAAGGATAGTGGGGACCCATCGTCTTCCAGGAAGAAATGTGTCCGGAAAAAAATCCTGAATGTTCGTGATCAGCGATCACTTAAACGTTCGGTGGAATCAAATGGAAGAAAACAACAGTAGCACTCAGGGCTTTGTTTAATAGTGAAAGTAAGAGCATTTCCACACAATGTGAAGGGAACTCAAGGGATCGGGTCTGAACAGATGTGTAGCCTTAAGAAAACCACTAATCAGCGAGGCTAACTGTAAAAAAGGCTTCAGTTTGCTAGGAAGCATAAAGATTGGACTCTAGAGCAATGGAAGACGGTCATGTGATCTGATGAGTCCAGATTTACTTGTTCCAGAGTGAGGGGCAAATCAGGGTAAGAAGAGAGGCAGGTGAAGTGATGCACCCATCATGCCTAGTGCCTAGTCATCAATGCAAGATCTTGATGAAAAATTAATGATAATGGAAATAGATCTTGTGACATTGCAGAAGCTTATTGAAACAATGCCACAGCAAATGCATGCCACAATCAAACCTGAAGGTGGTCCAACAAAATATTAAGTGTGTGACCTTTTTTTTTTTGGTGGCAACTATTTTTTTGGTCAGGCAGTGTAGAAAGGAAGGGGGAAGGTAGGGTGCTGTAGATTAAATCCAACTTGTTGCTTTTTAATGAGCAGATGACCACGGTGCATTAGTAATGTTAAAGTTGTGTTGGATCTCGAGCAAACACTGGAGCAAAATGCTACAAATGCTTTAAATATAAAAAAGATACAAACTGCAGGTCACATGGAAATGCGGGTAAATGTCAGAGAGTCAGAGATTCTTTATTGTCATTTGCACCTCATGTGGTACATGTGGTGGAGCGAAATTATGTACACAGGGTCCCATAAAATAAAATAAAATAAAATAAAAAGCAAATCCATCTTGTTGTCCAACGAGCGGACATTCGACAGAAAGAGAGACGGCATCCGGAGTTTTCTGGCTTTTGCGTTAGCTTGTAGCCTCACCATAACCCCCGCCCGGCACCCTCTCCTCTTAAGGTGGGAGCAGCGCTTCCTCTTCTGCCCACTGGAACGCCTCTGCTGCAGCTTCCAGGTAGATGACTTTAAGATCTGCATTCTGCCAAGCGTAGTTTTGAGTTTGTTGCTGATTTCTGCTATATTTCGTGGCAAATCCGCTCCTATTCTCATCAGTTCGGTTCGGCTATAGTTCACAGGCATAAATCGTGCGGAGTCAGGCACAGAGCCAATATCAAAACTTCTAAAAACTGGGATAGTACCAGGAGCCTGTGAAGCTGCAACTGCTCTGAGCGCGGCCATCTCTGATTCACCGTCCAATTGTCCAATTGTCCAGTTGTCCAATCGTCCAATTGTCCACTTGAAAAAACTTTTAGTTTCAGGGAGATTTTTGCTCAAGTTTTCAACATAGTTTTGTGAGCTGTTTAAGCGTGCACCTCTCTGGTAGAAGCAATCTTTCATTACACTGAACTCCTGAGACATTCTGGAGACTTCAACGTTAATGCCATCTCCTGAATATCTTGCAACATTTGTGGTGGTTCAAAACATCCTTGTGGGAATTGTAGACGTGCACAGCATTTTCTGTTGGGTTCTGAGCATGTAAAAAAAACGGTACGACAACTTTTCTCCTCAAATCGTCACGGTGTTGTCGTGGGCAACTATAACCTGTCTGGAAACCACCTGAATTGTGTCATGGTGTCTCCAAACCATCTCAGGAGCCCTAGAGCTGTACAGTATTTTGACTTCTGCATAAGAGCTCTGCCCTGAAAGACAACATCCATGGTAAATATACAGGTCTAAACACTAAGCTAATGATAAGTGATTATTGTCAAAAAGCCATTTCAAACCAGCCTTTTAAAATGAGACCACTCTGCTTGCAGAGTTTTGTAAAACAGCCACAAGTCCACCAGCTCAGTGAGATACCACCATTAGTTATCAGAGCCTAAATATCCAATTTTATTTTGGCTTCAAAGGAACTCTTTCCTTATAACATGGTCATTTTATCAGTAAATAACATGACGTTTTAGTTATTTGTTTTAATTATTGGCATTTGCAACAAGAGACCACATTTGTAGATTATTGTTAGCTGAAGCACCAAGTTGATGATCATGAGGCTGTGGTGAAATGAAAATACTTTTACAATGAATTAAAGCGTTTCAATCGAATGGCTCTGTGCTGTTAAGAGGCTTGACTCATTCATTCACTGAGGTTTCTCACCCACAGTCAAATGCTGAGTTCAAGTCGTTTGCTGATTGCATTATGTAGTCAAAGTTTGAGACAATCAGAAACATATAATAGATATCAGACTGAAATTAACGTTCAAGGATGAAGGAATTCTGATAAAAAGGCAGTTTTATTGGTTTGAATTTCAGTAAGGAGATGATTTCATGTCGCTGTAGAATTACTGTATTTTTGAGAAGGGGTTCTCTGCAGACCAAAAGTGGGCGTTTCTGGAGAATAGGCGTTTTTGGGGGGCAAACACTGATTGGCTAACTGTATTTGCTGGCTCTTTAGGTAAATTACGTCAGCTCTTTTTTAAAACTGAAGGTTTCTAACAAACAGTGTTATTTCTGCTGTCAAACACAAGAATATTTTCTTTTGTTCTTGGGTTGTAGGCCGCACCTGACACAGGTTGCACCGAGGTCAATAAGCACAACCAGAATTAATACATAAGGCTCACTGTTGATTTTGAGAAAATTAAAGGATTTTAAATGTGCCTTATAGTACGAAAAATACGGTATTAAGCAGTAATTATACTTTGCTTTGGCTAAAAATGTCTGTTACATCCACCCAGAAAGGCCCCAAACCAGGATTTAATCCGGCAACCTTTTTGCTAAGAGGTTGCAGCTCTGCCAAGTGAGCCACCGTGCTGCCCAGACGTGTTTCAATGAAAAAACTAAATAATAAATAATAAAAGAGCAGTTTGATTTTGACATTTGTCACAGCTGAGTGGATGTGAACCAATCTGCTCCATTTGTACGAGGCAGCAGCAAGGGAGGCGGGAGGCAGAGTGTTTCCTTGAACACGACTAACTGCGTGTGTCATCACATCAGTTAGTTTCAACACCCACTGAGGCGCAGCGGGACGACTACTCTGCGTGGGCGAAACGAGGCTTCCCCCGAGTAAACACAGTGTCAGCCCAATCTGAATAGTGAGATTTAGATTAGGAGTGGAAAAACTGTCACCAAATCCCTTTCAGGTAGTGCAAAATAGAAACAACATAGGCTTAAATTTTTACTGTCTTTATTTAGTTTTCATAAAAAAAACAAGTATTTCCAGATAGGCTTCTTTATATTCAGATTAGAATGTGATTTATTAATATTGAACAATAAATAATTAAAGCTGTGCATTAATTGCAGACTTTGCTTTTAGCTGGTAACCCATCAAATAAAAAATATCTTTGTTGTATTTAAATACGTCTTTGAGAAATTATAAAAATCCTCAAATGGCGCCTACACTTGTAATTTCACACATTTTATGTGGGTGGAAGAGGATGGAGAACAGGAGAGATGAGAGGCTGAGTGTGGGGGAGGTGGAAGACGAGAGGAGGGGGGAGGTTTGTGAAGGAGCTACCTCGTGGCCATCGCAATTGGCAAAATGCTTTTGATTCGACGGCTGAATCGCTTTTTTTATTCCAAACCCCTCTCGCAATTTTCAATAGTGAATGAAAAAAAAAAATGTTACCAAGCAGATGTTAAAAAAAAAGAAGAACAATTACCTTTTTTTTCAGGAGGAGGTGTGGGATTTTTATAGACAAGCAGCCAAATTTAGATTTTATCACGCAGGGACAGACTCATCCACTGTGGATCTAAAATTTAACACATAATTCACATTAACCAGTGGCTGAACTATAGAAAAATTATTTAAAAATGTTCCCTTCATCAGAACACAAATCTGATCAGGCGTCATGTTCAAAGAACTGAACAGGGGGAATGCAGGAGGAGAAAATACATCTATTTTCCTGTATAAGATCATCAGGACTCTGTACCACAGAGCAGACAGCATCTCCACTAACTCAGGAGCCAGGCAGAAGGAGAAATCCCACACAAGACAGGCTCTAGAGCAATGTGGATATCCTAACTGGGCCTTCCTGAAAGCAGAGAAGAAACCCAAACAGGACTCCAGTCAGCCATCAGGTGAAAAGGAGGAACCCAGACCCAGACCAGTGGTCATTCCGTATGTTGAGGGAGTATCAGAGAAACTGAGACATTTATCTTCTAAACATAACGTCCCAGTGGCTTTTAAACCCCAAAATACATTAAAGACTGGTCCATCCCAAAGATCCAGTCCCCCGGCACAAACAGAGTAATACTGTGTATGCTGTTCAGTGTCAGGAGGGCTGTGATCAGTCTTACATCGGGGAAACTAAACAGCCACTGGCCAAAAGGATGGCCCAGCACAGAAATTCAACATAATCAGGCCAGGATTCTGCGGTCTACACTCATCTCCAGGCCAGCGGTCACTCTTTCAGGGATGAAGATGTTCACATCCTGGACAGAGAGGAACGATGGTTTGAGAGAGGAGTAAAGGAGGCCATCTTTGTGAAAATAAATCGTCCATCATTAAACGGGGATGGAGGCCTCCGGGTTCAACTGTCCCCCTCTTACAATGCTGTGATTGCTAGTATCACTCAGCCCCTGTGAACAGTAAACAGCCATCAGTGTGTTAATGATCCATTGTTAGGCTGATGGTCCTTCTTGAGCATGTGAGCAGCTGGTTTTGGTTGTCAGCAGCAAAACTGGTTGATCCACTCTGAGAAGGTGCTATTTAAGAGACTGAGCTGAATACAGCGCCTCAGACTGAGGAAGTGTTTCGGATGAAAGACGAAACGTTTCTACATTTTTTTGCTTTGTTTTGTTTTTTGAATGGCCAGAGGACCAGATTGAACTTTTTTAGATATTTATTCTTCTATTTACCTGTGGACTTCAAATATGATTCAGCCAAGTCTGTCTAAAGACAGTCCACAATAACCATGAAGACCCATATAGCTTTTGGTAGAGTTATAGATTTCCCTATAGTTTTTTTTCTTCTTTTGGCTGCTCCCTTCTTCAGGGGTCGCCACAGCGAGTGAACTTGCACGAAGACTTGGCGATTGTTTTTACGCCGGATCCCTTCCTGACACAACCACAGACCACCGAGCTACCACAGCCCTCTGTGTGGAGCAGAGAGCTGCCATTTAGGGCACCCAGGGGAGTAGATGGTGGGAGTTAAGAGCCTTGCTCAAGGGCCCAGAGTGGGGCAAACGAGGATGGAGGCAGATGTGGGTGGGTGCTTCACCTTTCCCACCTACCCGTTTTGATGTTCTCAGTCCGGGGAGTCGAACCGGCAACCTTTCAATCTCAAGCCCACCTTCTCTAATCTCTGCACCACCTTAAAGATTCCTCTAAAAAGTTATACTAAAAATTGTTTCTTACTTTATATTATTTTATTGTGTTTTATTTATTCATTATATAAATGTACTTGCAGGGCAGCACGGTGGTGCAGTTGGTAGAGCTGCTGCCTCTCAGCAAGCAGGTTACCTGGGCTCAAATCCCAGTCCAGGGACCCTTCTGGGTGGAGTTTACATGTTCTATTCATGCATGAGTTGTTTTTTTCAGTGTTTTTAGGGGGGGTGGGGGGTGGAGCAGAGGCTAGATAAGATGGGCCTGTGATCGGAAAGTCGCAGGATCAACTCCCGGTACCATCAACATCAAAATGTGTGTGGTAAAGGTGAAACACCCACACGTGTCTCCACCCTCATTTGCGCCACTCTGGACCCTTGAGCAAGGCTTCTCAGCTGCTGCCTCTCAGCGAGCAGGTTACCAGGGTTCAAATCCCGGTCCGGGGACCTTTCTGGGTGGAGTGTGCATGTTCTCTTTGCGCATGAGTGGGTTTTCTCCAGTTACTCTGGTTTCCTCCCATCGACCAAAAACATGCATGTTAGACTGACTGGTAACTCTAAATTGTCCCTAGGTGAGAGAGAGGGTGAATGGTTGTTTGTCTCGTTTGTCTCCATGTGTCCCTGGGATGGACTGGAGACCTGTTCAGGTTGTCCCCCGTCTCTCACAAAGTGATGGTTGGGCATGGGCACCAGCAACCCCCGCGACACAAAAAGGAAAAAGCGAGTAAAGATAATGGATTGATAAATGTACTTGCCGATAAGTTTACCAATAAGATATTTATTAAACCATTGAAAGAGAAACAACTGAGAGTATAATGTGGCGATCATTAAATGTAAATGGGGGCTGCAGTAGCTCGGTGGTCTGTGTCACATTCTTGTAATCCTGAGGTTGAGGGTTTGAGCCCAGGTTGAGTCAGGAAGGGCATCCGGTGTAAAACAAATTGCCAAATCTTTCAAGCGACATCGCTCGCTGTGGCGATCGCTGAAGAAGGGAGCAGCTGAAAGAAACTTACCGTCTTCAAACGTAAATAAAACCCCTGTCCAACAACAAACTTGGTTGTTCTCTATCATGTTAAATGTTTTTAAACTGCATTTTTACTGAAGGATTTAAAATAATGATTTAAAAAACACTTTACATGTTAGAAGGTGAGAAAGACAGGAAGTTAAAATGACTCAGTCAGGAGGAAGCCTGAAAGGTTTCATGGCATTTAAACAGCATGAATAATTTAGTCTTTGATCACTTAGAAGCTTTTGAGAGGCTCTAAAAACAGAGCCTAGTAAAATGACACTTCTTTATTAAGTCCAGAATGTTCCGGAGAGTTTATAATATCACAGATGTGGCTGTGTTAAAATAAATAATAATATGCAGGCTTATGGAAACAAGTAAAAGTATATATTTTTAAATGACAGCCACTGGGTAAACAGCATAGTGTGTGCTAATGGTGCCGTCTCACCTGAGAGATGGGTATGGGGTAAGGACCCGGGAGGTTCTCCTGGAGCCGCACGGGATCAGGTGATGCCCAGGTGTTTCCAGTGACTTCAACAGTCACAATGCCAGTCGTGAAAAAAGCGTTTGCCTTTCCAGCCATGTCTTTCACCATCACTGAGAGCTTATAGCGGCCGCACATCTCTGGATCCAGAGTCGAGGCTCCTGGGGGGCTCGCAGCAGTCGCAGTGAAAACAAGAATATTTTTGTTTTAGAGTACTTTTCAACCAATAACTGTTTAAACAATAAAAAGGAATGCATGTCACATACAGTGCCACTTTATCAGAATAAGCTTTATTATCATTGTACCAGGATACAGTGAAAGTATGTTCGTACAGTTGTCTGAAAGATGGACGGAGTGCACGTTGCTGCTGCTATAATAGCGCAGCCCCTTGTTCTTTATCAGAATACTTTTAGACAGAAAAAGGAAAGAGCCACCAGGATGGATAGTGGTATTACAAAAAAGATCTCTTCACATCTTGTCCTATCAGGACACGATTTGAGACATCAAAAAAACTACCAGCAAACACATTTATAAACACATTATATATGTATTTGATGTCAAGATGTTGAGATTTCTCCATGAGCACTCTCAGATAGGCCATAGTCCTGATGATGTTATTGTTCAGCTGGCAGTTCTGATAAGCCTGCACAGAAGTTCTCGGGAGGGTGGAGTTTGCGATAGATGAAGCTTTTTCCTTAGTTTACCCATGTCCCAGGAGAAATTTGATAGTCGGCCTGCATCCGAGGCCAACAGGGGAGTCAGATTCAGATAAGCCACAATTGTTGATTTTCTTCAGGCAGACTGTTTTTTTTCTAGTCAGCCTTAAGCCCTGCTGGTACTTTCCAGATCCAAAATGGACAGATTTATGGGCATTCCACTGATCTGTGCTATGAGCCTTTTTCAAGGTCGACACCAACATGCTGGCGAGTCCTAAAAGCCACGGGTGGCCTGCAATTCTCACAAATTGCTTCCATCTTATGGCTTAGCTTGTAAGTCAGCTGATTTTGAGTACTCGTAGCACGAACCAAACCTTCACACAAACTCTGAAGCTTTGCCATGGCTGAAACTGCTGCAGATGTCTTCTTCAAAAGTTGATAACATAGGGACCCACCCATGCCAAAAAGCAGAAACCCTGCTATCATGAATCCAATTATATAAACAACTTTGGCGTTCTCCTGAGACGGAACTGAAAGACACATCAGCTGCTACACTCTCCACAGATCCCTAATGTATCCTGCAGCGTGAGTCTCGACAGGACATGAGGGCTCTCCAGGACTCTGTTGTGTTGTTGAAACAATTTTGTCGATTGCGTTGAAAGTCCAGCTCACCAGATCCATAAAAGTATTATTTGTTCGGAAGATGTGTACAAGGAGCTCCGAAGCAAAGAGAGTAAAAGCAGGAGGAAGAGGAGAATAGGCCTGCCTTGAGCAAGAGCAGAAAATTTACAAAAGTTAAAGTTAATTAATAAAACTTAAAGTTAATCAGCTGTTAAGATTTTAATTAAAATCCAACCCCCATTTAATGAAATGTTTTGCTAACAGAAGGTTATAGTAACAGTATTATTCACCTATCATGGAGGACGAAGTAAAAAGGTATCTACATTTTTTTTGTGTCCTATGTTTTATTGCGTAACGTGTGATATATCAAAGAGGTTGATTAAAAACACCACTATAAGGAACGTCTAAAAAGAAGAGAAATTTCTTGTAAAGCTGACTGAAGAGGCAATCATAACTGGTTTCAGCTGGTCTGAAGGTGCGGCAGAAAATCAAGGAGGCAATTTTCAGCGCTTCTTGCTGCGTGGAAATCAGCAGCAGTGTGGGCTGAAAGAGAGCAGTGAGTGTGAAAGTCACCCATCTCCTGTCAAACTGTAACAAAGGGGAACTCCAAAGCTGCAGAAATAGCAACAGAACACCACTGTATGAGAGCATTCACACACAAACATGTCACTAAAAAGGTTAACTAATGAGTACCAATAATTATTTACATTGCATTTAATATATTGTTTAAATTATTTTAGGATTGTTTAAAATCGTTCTTTTCTCTGAAATCTATTACTGATGGTTTCATACAGAGCCGGTGCATGACTAAATATTGATGGAGAGCCCAAGACGTCAATGAAGCATCAAAAAGAAAAACTCTGTCACAAAAAAAAAAAGTGTTTGTGCAGAAAAACAGAAAAATGGCATAAGATCTGGCAGACTAATATCTTTTAAGGTTGTGAAAAATAATTTGCAATGCTCATAAAGAAAAACTCCTTCGTGACTACAATTCAAGAATGCTCTTCAAACATAATAATGGTTATGTTTCCATGGCGATGATAAAAAAAAGGAGAGACTGAGAGGTTTTATTGCAGGATGAGATCAAAGACAGTAAGCTTTCCAGATTTTATACACAAATATATGAGACTGAGGAAAATTAGAGAAACATGTTTTTCACTGAACATGCAGTTAGGACGCTGAGAGCTGACTTAACTGAAATGTCCATATAATAATAACAATATTAATAATAATAATAATAATAATAATAAGTGCTATGTGTTGTCATTGTATGTTCCCGTACAATGGTGAAATTAGTTTTCTGCATTTAACCCATCGCACCTGGGATTCACCCAGGTGGAGCAGTGGGCAGCTAAAAAGTCTGTCCATCCATCCATCCATCCATCCATCCATCCATCCATCCATCCATCCATCCATCCATCCATCTTTTATCCGCTTCTTCCTTTTTGGGTAGTGGGGGGTCACTGGTGTCCATATCCAGCAGTAACTGTGTGAGAGGCGGGGTACACCCTGGACATGTCTCCAGTCCATCACAGGGACTCATAGAGACAAACAACCATTCACTCTCTCACTCAAACCTAGGGACAATTTAGAGTTACCAATCAGCGTAGCATGCATGTTTTTGGTCTGTGGGAGGAAACCGGAGTACCCAGAGAAAATCCACACATGCACAGAGAGAACATGCAAACTCCACCCAGAAATGTCCTGGGCCGGGATTTGAACCTAAATCCTTTTCGTTGAGAGGCAACAGCTCTACCAACTGTGCCACCGTGCTGCTCTTTACTGAAATGTGTTGAAGGAATTTAAACTGAGTAGTAAAAGCTAAAAGAAGCAATATGCTAGCTACAAGCTATATCTAGCAACAGGTTAGATAAAAGCTAAATGTAACAAAACAGTAGCTAGATGTTAAAAATGTCTAATGGGCTAAAAACTTAGCTTAAACTTAAAGGTAACGGATGGCTAAGGAAAAGTTAATTTAGAAAAAGTCTAAATAACATAGAAAAAGTCTAACCAGAAGTTAAAAGTATTAAAAAGCTGGTAAAAGCTAAACATAGCAAAAGGCTGGCTACAAGCTAAACTAGCAGAATGGTAGCTAAAAGCTTAAAATAGCATTATAAGACAAAAAGAAGCCAGTTTGATAAAGTAGATCTAAATGTATACGTTTTCCATGAGTTATAGAGATCTCAATGTATTTCCAGGAAAAAATATTTGTACTTAAAGTTTTATTTTTTTTTAAATATGCAAGTTGCAAAAAACATAATTCACAGCATCCATTGTCTGAACGAGCTGAATGTTTAGATACATGAAGACATTAAACTAAACATATGCAGAAATAGTTTGATTGCAGAAAATATAAAAATATAAAAGTCAATAAAACAACCTGAGTCAAAGTAAAAAGAGTAAATAAAAGACATAAACGTCCAAAATGTTCACATGTGGATACGATGAAACCCAGATGTTGGTTCTACACCCACTAATTTTAGTCTTTGACCTTTGTTCCTCTCAGGTTTTCTCCTTGCTTGCATGAAATGTGTTGTCTATGGAAACAGTAAGGCGTGTATTATTTTATGGCAGCTGTTTGTTCTGATCTTTGTGTCTCTAATAAACACCAGAAATACATAAATGACTAATAATGTCCTTTGTTAGGACCAACCTTCATCAGTGAGAGAAACCTCTCCGGTGATGGAGTTGATGAAGAACATCTGACTGGAGGGGATCCTGGGTGTCTGCTCCATCAGACTGAAGCGCAGCTCAGCGTGGGCGGTGTTACGGTCGTCACGATCCAGCGCCTCCACCTGCATGAACGGGATCCCTGAAAGACAAACACGGACGACAGAGACACAATTTAATCGCAAGATAAATACGACACAAAATACTGGTACTAAGTCCCCATTGTTTTCCTGTTTACAGTTGCCTCCCTACCTTTCTAAATACTTCAACATACCTTAAGTGTCTTCAGGTATTCAAAACCTTCATCAAATATATATCTATCTATTTATGCAAACTCCAAACTCCACCCAGAAAGGTCCCGGGCCGACATGTGAACATTGACCTTTTCGCTGAGAGATCAGCTCCTCCACCGTGCCATCCCATTATTCATGCATTTGTTTATTTATTTACTTTCCACAAAAATGCTCTGGGATTTTTTTAAATCCCTGAGAAATGTTGTGCTCTTTGAAATCCCTTTCAGCATACTTAGTTAATTTGTACCTTCTAGCTGAAATTTGACTAGTTGCTTTTAACTACTCTTTTGCTGATTTTAGCTGCTGTTTTGGTCATTTTAGCTTTCAGCTACTGTTCTGCTAGATTTAGTTAGCATTTACCTAAATTTTTGGTTTTTGCCTTTAGTTAATGTTCACTAATTGTAATTTTGTCCACGGATTTGCAAACTCTGGCTTCTATTTAACGTTTGGCTAATTTTAGTTTTTAGCATCTGCTTTGCTGTTTTCAGCTTTTTACATTTTGCTATTTTTAGCTTTTAGCTTCTGCTTTGCTGGCTTCAGCTTTTAGCCACAGATTTGCTAATATTGGTATCTATTTAATGTTTTGCTTATTTGAACTTTATTGCTTGGTTTTGGCTGTTAGCTACTGTTTTAGCTAACTTTAGCTTTAAGCTCCTTCTTCGGTGGTATTTACTTTGTAGCTCTTAGCTACTGTCCTGCTGGCTTTAGCATTTAGCTTTAGTTTTGGAAATTTAGATTTGTGTTTGTGTAACTTTAGCTTTTGTTCAGATTGATTTAAAGTAACATTTTGTGTTTTTACTTCCTCAACAACTTTCAGCAAAGTCACTTCACACTTCATTTGTGCAGAAAACAGATTTTTCCAGTCGTTTCGACTACCGGTAAATAGATTTGGCAAAAATAAACCATGTGGATTGAAATCAGACGACGTCATTTCTAAGTTTAATGTTACCTTTGAGAAGCCCAAGCTGCACGCTGCCTCTCATGCTCTGTTCTATGAAAGCGGGCACGTTGTCGTTCTTGTCGATGACGAACACTTCAACTGTGAAGCTCTGACGATGCACCGGAGATCTGATGTTCTGAGGGACATCAGACGGTCTGAAGGACACCTGCAGGCCCAAAAGACAGAGGAGTCAATCTGCAACTTCACCATGAGACTCTGATCAGACTCTGAGGTGAACCAATAGTCATAAAGACGTCTTTTATGAAGAAGGGAAGGCAACATTTGACCTGCAGAGAGTAGGATGGCTGTTTCTCTCTGTCCAGTGGTTTTATGGCAAACAGGAACTGAGCATCAACTCCAAAGATTCCTTCATCGTCTCCTGTCAACACCAGGTCTGTGGCGTTACTTGGCAGGTTATGAAGCTGTTCAAAAAGAAAGACAAACTGAAATTAAAGCTGCAAGCAGCGTTGAAGGCCCTCGCAGCGAAGCGCCGCTGCGGCCTCATGGCGACCGCGGGAACTGCAGCGACCCTTCCTGGTCGCCATCGAGAACGCTCACGCTACCGTCACGCGCCTGTTCCCCGGAATGCGCATTCGCCGAACCTTTCACATAAGCTGCGACCGCATATATATCTATTGTAATAATGTAGGGGGCGCACTTGAGTGAAATATTAAACAACAACACCACTGCGTCCATAAGTCCTCACTAGTCAAGCACCAAAAATCTGGTCCAGATCGGACGATATATCACTGAGATATAACAGTTTGATTTATGTAGGGGGCGCACTTGAGTCAAATATTAAACAACAACACCACTGTGTCCATAAGTCCTCACTAGTCAAGCATCAAAATTCTGGTGCAGATCGGACGATATAACACTGAGATATACCAGTTTGATTTATGTAGGGGGCGCACTTGAGTCAAATATTAAACAACAACACCACTGCGTCCATAAGTCCTCACTAGTCAAGCACCAAAAATCTAGTGCAGATCGGAC